ATTTGCCACTGCAATTAAGGAAAAGACAGATACCAAGAACATCCAGATAGGAAAGAGAGAGGTCAAGTTTTCATTATTTGCAGATAACTTGTTATTATGTCTAGAAAACCCTAAATATTCTACCAGAAAAAACAGATTTGTATAGTAAAGCAGCAGTCTACAAAATAAACACACAAAAGTTCATGGCTTTCCTCTACATGGCTAATGATATAGAAGAGAGAGAGAGAGATTAAAAATCATTCCCCTTCACAACAGAACCTCAGAAAACCAAGCACTTAGGAATTAGCTTAACTAAGGAGGTAAAAGACATTTACAAAGGAAACTACAAAAACATTTTTTAAAGAAATAAAAGAAGACAAGAGGAAATGGAAACACAACCCTTGCTCGTATATTAGGAGAATTCATATCATCAAAATGACAATGATCCCCAAAGCATTACACAGATTCAATGCAGTACTTATAAAAGCAGTGGGAACACTGTTTGTTCAAGACATAGATCAAATAATCCTGAATTTCATATGGAAAAGAAAAGTCACCTGAACAGCCAAAGCAATCCTTGGGGGAAAAAAGATGAAATGTCCCTAACTTCAAATTGTATACAAAGTAGTAGTAATTAAAACAACATGGTATTGGGACAAGGAAAGACACTCTGATCAATGGAATAGAACTGAGAATCCAGGTAGATTTGACACAGGTAGATATTCAGTTAATCATCCATAATGGAGCAAAAAATATGAAGTGGAGCAAGGAAAGCCCCCTTAACAAGTGTTAGGAAAACTTGTTGATCATATGTTAAAAAAAATGAACCCAGACCTCTTTGCCATGCCATGCACAAAGTCAAATCAAAATGGATTAAAGACATAACTATCAAACCAGAACCATTAAATAAAGGAAAATATTGGCAAACCTCTGAAACATTGAAGCTAGAGGCATCTTTAAGGCTGAAATTCCACTGAATAAGCAAGTGGAAGCAATGATAAAAAGCCCACGAATTGGAAAAGAGTTTTTTTTCATGAGTAGTTTTCCTACCTCCCAACTGAAAATGGGTTAATATTAAGGATATACAACACATCTGGTAGAATTTTTTTAAGACTAAAACAGAAGTGGAGGAAGAAGTTTTGTGGGCCATGTGTCCCCATTAAAACTAATTAAATTAAAAACTATTAAAAACTATTGTATTAAAACAACCATAGACAATACCCAAAAGGCTAATGATGTATATATATATATATATACATATATACATAATTTCATTCATTTTATTTACAAAATTTAAGATGCAGGGCAGATTTTGGTCCAAGGTTCTTCTTTTGCTAACCCTAGGTTTAAGAAATTTAGAAAATTAAGATTTCTGGGTCTAGCAAGATAGTATAGAGGATAAAGTGCTTGCCTTGCATGTGGCTGACCAGGGTCAATCCCCAAGCATCACCTGGAGTTATCCCTGAGCACAGAGTTAGGAGTAAGCTCTGAGCACTATTGGGTGTAGCCCCAATCACACCCTCCTCCCCTAAAAAAAAATTATGTTCTGGTTCACAGTTACTACACCTTCACCACCAACGAAGTGCCAAAGATCCTCCAACACTGTGAGTGTGTTTCTACTCTGCTTCTTTCTCCCTCCAATTCCCTTCTTGCTACTACTTGGTAACCTCAGTTCTCTAATCACAGCCCAATAGTTTGTTTTCATTCTATACTGGATATTTCCCTTTCTCGGTTTCTTCATATACTGCTTTTGAGTGACAGCTCCAGTAATTCCTTCTCTGTGTAACTTATTTGCTTAACATGGTATCTCTAATTCCATCCATAATGTAGTCAGAGGAAATATTTATTTTTTCTTATTGCTGTGATTTTTTCTTATTGTTGTGGTATATGTTCGATTACATACATATACCACAACTTCTTAATCCACTCAAATGTTATTGGATGGGTAAATATGTTGAATTGCTATCTTGGAATTTGTATTTACCACAGTGAATTTAAGGAGGAGTGTGTGTGTGTGTGTGTGTGTGTGTGTGTGTGTGTGTGTCTATGTGTGCATTGTTTTTGAGTTTAATGTTTCTGTGTTTATGCAACAGATGTTAAGGATAGGAAGTGCTTGGTCATATGGGAGGGGTTTTTTTTCATTTTTTAACAAGTCTCAAAATTGTCTTCCAAAAAGAATGAACTAAGTGGTATTCCCAACAACAATGCAGAGCCCTTTTTCACCACATTCCCACAAACACTGGTTGTTTCCACAATTTGTGACACATGCCTTTGGCACTGATGTGAGAAGATATCTCATTATAATTTTGAGTCTATTTTCCCAATAATAAGTGATAATGAGCACTCTTTCATGAGCCTAAAGGTCATCCATATCTCTTCTACAAATATACCTATGTTCGTGTTTTCATTTTTGATGAGGTGATTGGTTTATTGCTGTTAAACTCCATGAGTGAACTGTCACTGTCACTATCACTGTCCTCCCGTTGTTCATCTATTTGCTCGAACAGGCCCACTAACGTCTCCATTTTAAGACTTGTTGTTACTGTGTTTGGCATATTGAATACATCACGGGTAGCTTGCCAGGCTTTGCCATGTGGGCAAGATACTCTTGGTAGCTTGCCCAGCTCTCCGAGAGGGTCGGAGTAATTGAACCTGGCTGGGCCATGCTGGCTGTGCACAAGGCAAACGCCCTACCACGGTGCTATTGCTCCTGCCCAACAAAACAGTAATAATAATAAATAAAAATAGTGGGTGGGGTTCTTGTCTTGCACATGACTAACTCCAGGTTTGATTGCCAGCATCCCATATGTTTCTCTGAGCACCACCAGAAGTGATCCCTGTGTGCAGAGGTAGAAATAACCCGTGAACATTGCCAAGTGTTCCCTCCCCCTGGAAGAAAAAAAAACTAAAAATTATTTAAGATAATTAAAGGTGCGGTGACCAATTCCATTTCCTAGATTCCATTATGGTAGGGCTTGGGGTACATCCTGGAAGTGACCAGGCTACTTCCTGCTACATTTCCACACTTGGTTGCACGAACCTCTCTGGTCCAACACAGCCCAGATGCTACACCTGATTCTGCCAGGGTCTCTTATAGCTCCGCATCTCCCAGTATCCCAAAAATCTACTGCAAGAGCATGGAATGTGGGAAAATCAAAAGGTCAGCCAAATACAAGTGAACATTAGCCTTTAATTGATATATAGCATAGAAATATTTTCTCCTATTCACTATGGTGTCTTTATTTTAGCCCATTTCATTTCCATACAATAATTCTTAGTTTTATGTATTTTCTTTTATATTAAATTAAAAACCATCAAAAGAATGCAATTTCATTACAAATTGGCAGCTATAAACAAAGATAAAATAATCTGAACCAGAGCAGTACAAATTTTACTTTATGGTTATTAGTATGCTAAATGCTATGCTTTACTTATGGGTTCAGTAAATTCTAATATTACTGCAGTTTCTCAAAATCCGTCTGCCAACTTAACTGCTAAACATAAATAGAAATGAGCAAAATTTTCTAAATATTAAAAATATACTAGAATCCAGATATCTCCAACAGAATCATTTCACACTTTGGACTGGTGAGAGCTGTAAGTGTTGAATATCCTATATATTCTCAGAGGGAAAAGAAAAAATGAGCCATGTTAATCTTATTACTATAATAATTTCAAACGTATTACAAAATGTGTTTTTGTAAAACTACATAGGTGATTAATTTATTTATTAGGGATATACTTATTACTTTATTAATTTCCAGACTTAATAGAAACAATATTATTTTCTACCATCAAACTTATTTTTCATCCTTAAATTTATCAGTGAAAAATAGCTTTCTTAAATTTATTAACACTAAATATGTAACTTATATTATGAACAGATGTCTTCTTTGTGCAAGGTCTCAGTATATGAGAACCAAAAAGTTAGGAAATAAAAATTATGTCACAATTCAACACCTGTAGAAATTTTAAATTGCTACTATACTATGATTTATCCAAATATAACTGGTAAGCTTATTTGTAGATAATACTAATATCTCAATAATATGCACTGGTCTCAAAGATAAAATTTGTATTTTCATATAGAATTGCTTACTATTTCTTTATAGAATAGTAGGATACTGGAAACACGCCTGGTGATATTCCTGCTGTAGCAAAGGAATAAAGACAGCATGCCTGCTGATTTAAACAGGCTATTTAAATTCCCAATTCTAACAAAATAATCTTGTGTTTAGGTATCATTTGGGAATATAAACTCACTACTAAAAGGAGGAATATTTATAGAAAAAAAAAACCTCAACCAGCCAAATGAATTAGGAAATGCAGACCACGATACTGCAAGTAAGACAAAAGTAGTACTGTTCCTGAACTTCCTTAATACAGAAAATAATACCTGTAATACTTATGCAAAGCATACCAGGAAAGTATTTAATAGAATAGTTTTATATAATTTGGAAGGGATGACATTTTCTTGAATTTAAAAGGACATAAATTTGAGTACTATAAGAGATATTTAAGGTAGTACACTGAAGAGGTAGTACCAGGGATGTTTTTAATAAAACATAATCTCTAAAACTGATAGTCTGATTATGTGTTTGTGTATCTGTTAGGGGTGTGTGTGTGTGTGTGTGTGTGTGTGTGTGTGTGTATGTGTGTTTACTGTGATTTCAAGGATCAGCATGGGCCTTTTACCCCCATTTAAAAAAAATGAGTCACTTCAAAGTTTTTTAAGATGGCTAAAAGCATATCAAATCATGTCAGCATTTTAAGAGAATTTGCTCGAGCGGCCCTCCCGTTGATCGTCGATTTGCTCGAGCGGGCCCAGTAACGTCTCCATTGGAGACTTTGTTGTTACTGTGTCTGGCATATCGAATACTCTCGGTAGCTTGCCAGGCTCTCCGAGAGGGGCGGAGGAATCGAACTCAGGTCGGCCATGTTGGCCGCGTGTAAGGTGAACGCCCTACCCACTGTGCTATCGCTCCAGCCCTTAAGAGAATTATTTATTAACAATTGTTTACCATTCAGATTGAAAGCAATCAAGAGTTCTATTCATTCCCATTTTGATCAGGAAATTGCAAAGAAAGTCTTCTATAACTTCAGGTACTTGATACTTTGAAGGAAGAACTGTTTTCTGCTCCTGGAATTTAAATGTGCAATTATTTGTTTGAAAAAACATCATAACTTGATTAATATTACAAAACATCATAACTTGATTATAGTACAAAGGAGACCTTAAAAGATTCATTCATCCATCTCTCCCAACTGCTTTTGTTGAAATGTTATGTTCCAGAAACTATTTTAGTCACTACAGAGAATAAAACAAAGACTTGGTTCTCGCATTAAAAGACAAGTAAAAACAAAAGATAATTTATTTTTTAAAGTATATCTATATACTTTATACATATCTATATAGATACATATACATATCTACATAGAGATAGATATAGCTATAGATATAGATATAGATAGATAGATATCTATATACTTTATACATATCTATATACTTTATACATATCTATATAGATACATATACACATCTATATAGAGATAGATATAGATATAGAGATAAATATGTATTTATATACATAGTAAGGTTAATGTTACTAAGTACAAAACTAGGGAGTAAAATGCATAGAGAGAAACAAAACCAAGCCAAGTCAGCAGAAATATTTGTAGAACTAGGTTTCTGTGTATGCAGAATGATGAAAGAAGATCTCAATAGTACTGTGGTACCAGAGATAAATGGGAAAAAATAGAGTAAGTAATGTTCTGATATACCATTAATAAGTACACAGGTCATGAAGATCGAAAGTCAAGGATCTTCCAGAGTATATGTCATATACTTAAGGTTGTTTACGAAAAAAAAATGGAGGCCAGAAAGATAGCACAGTGGGTAGGATACTTGACTGTGTGTAAGGCAATCAACCCCTAACCCTAGATGTTTCCCACCAGAAGTGATCCCTGTGCTTAGAGGCAAGAGTAAGTTCTAGGCATCACGTGTATGTTGCCCAAAAACAACCCTAAAAAAGTGAAAAAAATGAATGTAGATTTTATTATTAAACACTTCCTGTGAAGTAAACTGTGAAGTAAACTGTTGGAAAACAGAGTGAAGAATCTCTACACTAGATCAAACCATGTAAACATGAGTATTAAAACTCTTTCATTTAATCTTCAGTGAGATTAAACAGGTCTGGAAAATAGGTATCATTTATTGCAAAGTCATGTAATAATGACTGTGATTATTATTAAAATGGATTAAAAATAGATTATAATAAAAATTGAAAAGAAAAAATGACGACATATTATCAGGTGAAAGCCTGATAAAATGATGCAGTGAAAATGATATCACAGGTAATAGGGCTGCAATTATTCAATGACTTTCACAGTTTCACTTTCACAATGATAAACTATATGATATAGCGGTGTTTAAAATTCTTACCAAAATGTGAGTGTCTGTAACTTTTTCTTGAATGTACTGAACTGCTTTTACCAAATCTTCATCACCTTCGGGAATGCTAAAATTGTCATCTGGTATCTAAATCACAGAGAATGAGAAGAATAACAAGAAATGTAAAAATATTTACTTTAGAAGTATATTTCTCACAAAACACAAGATCATATAAATCCATTTCATGTAAGATATGTCATTTCAAAAGGATTTATTAAAATGAGTAATTTAACTAGTAGGTAACTTCATAGATTCTTTGTAATTATCATTCAATATTAGTTGTCACAAACTCAAAATTAGCTTATGGGCAAATGTTTTTATCTATTATAACCAATGTTGTCTATTCACTTTGCTTTAAAAACAACAATTAGACCACCTAAATGCCACCATTCTTTCCTCATCACAGATTTTTTTCCACTATTACAAAGCCCAAATCTCTAATTTCAAATAATAATTTATAAAAATCTAAACAAACCTCACTGCCTAAATAGTAAGCTTCTGAAAGAATGCAAGGTAGTCTAATTTTGACTTTAGCATTTCATTTTTATTGTGTGCTTTTAATACATATTAATCATGTTTTAAGTTCTTTGGACTAATTCCTGTGACATGTAATATGCCTTTTTACTAATTTTTGTGCTAAATGTTAGGCCTGGAGGAATAGAACAGCAGATAGGGCGTTGGCCTTGCATGTGGCCAACCTGGTCGACCCAAGTTTGATTCCTCTGCCACTCCCCGAGAGCCCGGCAAGCTACCAAGAGTATCTCACCTACACAGCAAAGCCTGGCAAGCTCCCCATGATGTATTCAATTTGCCAAACACAGTAACAATGTTACTGGGCCCGCTTGAGCAAATTGATGAACAACGGGAGGACAGTGACAGTGACAGTGATGATAAATTTACTATTTTACTAATTTCCAGCAGTATATGTTAGAATTCTCTCCTTGGGACTCTATACAGAAACAGGGATCAGCCAGGGTTGGCACAGTGCAAGGCAAGTGGCCTACCTTCTCTATTTTCTCTCCAGTCCCCAAATTCATAATTTCACTCATCCACAATAACTATATTCCTTAAAGTCCCAGACGTAATGATGGATCCCGTAAGAATCTTCAGTTAAAGGAAAGGTTTGATAAACTACACTTGAAATATCGTTAAATTAGGAGTAAGTATACAATCTGAGCTCCAATTAGGCAATGGTAAACTGGGATTCTGAAAAGCACAAGTGATGGCAGGGGCCTACTAGACAGATAAGCCACAGAATGGAACAACAGAGCAAAACAGAATCGATTCTTTTTTTTTTAACCAGTAATTAACATGCTTTTAATATTAAAGATTTAAATATTTTTTAAAAAAATCACATTATCTAACAGCATTATTATTTAACAGGACTAATATTCTACAGGAGCTGGAGAGCAAAAAACTCCACATCACTCTCAAACTTGCTCTAATAGCAGAGCATTTTAAGTAATGGACTCACAGAAATTTTGAGTTTTAAATGCACCATGAATTCCATACTGGAACATAAAAACTTATACTTTCCTTATGTGTCCAAGTCAGTCTTTATATCAATGCATGGTAGCTCTGTAGCAGTGTCCTCCCATTGTTCAGAAATGACACTAATTGTGTCAAATAAGTTGATGCTAACGGACAATTGTGAAGACAACCATCATTGAATTCTTACATTTTCACACCTCACTCTTAACCAAATGATATCGAAATTCAAGTAAAAACTAGCATGTTTTTGGAAGAAAAACAAAGTAAAATAAGTATTTGACAAAAATAATTGTGATGATTTACAGAAGAAATTGTAAATGAAAGAATTACCTCTTCATATTCATAATCATCTTCAGGTGCTTCAGTGATTGTAACCTCTGAATAACTTGTCAAGGTATAACATCAACTCCATAGAATAAAATGGCTTTTAATTTTTTACCTTAAAATATAGTAACAGATCCAGTCAACTTAACACGTTCATGAAAAAATGCATATATATATATATATAAAAGCTGTGCTCATTAAAAAGTTTTCTTTCTCATATTCTACAGACATTCATTCCAAGACAAAATATTTTAATTGTTTTAAATTATATAATACAAACTTATAAAAAATGCATTTTTGTATTCTTAAAATTAATGATTTCTAAATTAGTCTAAAACACTTATATAATGACCATAGTATCAGATAATAAATCACTTGATCACTTGACTTCCCGTTAATCATTGATTTGCTCAAGTGGGCGCCAGTAACAGCTCCATTTGTCCCTGTCATGTGTTAGTGTAGCCCAATGGCGTCTGTTCCTTCTAGGAATAGGAAGAGCCTCAAACTGATCATTCAGGGTCTTGATAAATCTGACCATCCGATAGGTGGGCGGCCACACGGTCTTTTGACGTCCCGTGGAATCCAGTCTGTAACAGCTCTAGTCTAGCAGTCGTCTCCAAATCTCATTACATGTCCAGCCCATATGATTTTCGATGCCTTGGCAAACAAGTCAGTGTCCCTGATTCTTGATCATTGATGGAGGTCAGAACTCAGGATTCTTCCACTCATTTGAGTGAAACATGATACTCCAAGCATAACTATTTCAATTCCTCTTTGGGAGACCCAAATAGCATTCTCATCCTGTTTTCGTAGGGCCCAGGTCTCTGAGGCATATGTTAATGCAGGAAGAACAGTGGAATTGAAGAGATGTGCCTGGAGCCAGAGACTCTCCATCATCCTAGCTATTTCTTCGACACTCTTGAAGATATTCCAAGACGCTGTCTTCCTCCTGCGCAACTCAGGTGCCAGGTCATTGGTCATGTTGAATTCTCAACCTAGGTACACATAACTGTTGCATTTGAAGATGGTCGTCCCATTGAGAGTGAATGGAGCATAAGGAACGAGGCTGTATCTCATAAACACCGTCTTCATGAGATTCAGCTGTGGTCCGACCTTTCCACACTCACGATCGAAGTCAGCAATCATATGTTCTGCTTGGCTAATGTTTGGTGTTATTAGAACGATGTCATCAACAAAGCAGAGGTGGTGTAGTTGCCAACCATCTATCTTCACTCCCATTCCTTCCCATTCCAGTCATCGCATGATGTTCAAGAGGGTGGCACTGAAGAGTTTCAGTGAGAGTTTCACCCTGCTGAACACCTCTCTTGACATCGATGATCACTTCTTTGTAGAATGGTGAGATCCTGGTAGTGAATCCATAATACAGCTCAGGAGGATCCTGATGTATTGAGTTTGAATGCCCTAACTGGCTAGGGTTTCAATGACCGCTTCCGTCCCAACAGAATCAAAGGCCTTCTTTAAATCAATGAACGTTAGACAGAGTGGCATCTTGAACTCCTGAGAAATCTCAATGAGCTTGGCTATCATGTGGATATGGTCGATGGTGCTGAATCCTTTGTGGAACCCGGCTTGCTCACATGGTTGTCCTTCATCTAGTGTTCTGCCAATCCTATTCAGGATGACTCGAGTGAATAGCTTGTAGATGACAGACAATAGGCAGATTGGGCAATAGATGCCATTGTCATGGATGTCTCCTTTCTTCTACAGTAGTACAGTCCTGCTGGTTTTCCACTGAGTCGGAATCTTGCATTCAGAGAGGGAGAGTGTGAAGAGCTGAGCCAGTGTATTAATGAGTACTGACAGCAGGTTCTTCAGGTGTTCAGGTCTGACCTTGTCTGGGCCAGGTGCTGTTCGCTTCTTTGCTGACGAAATGGTGTGTCAGATTTCAGAAGGGAGAACTTTGGGACGACATATCCATCCTGCGGAATTTGGTATGTTGGCAGATGGACGTGGCTATCGAAGAGATCTGAGTAGAAGTCATGGATAATCTTCTCCATTGCCATTCTGAAAGATGTGATAGATCCATAAGGACATCAGAGAGCAGTCATTTTGGTCTTCTAGTTGGCGAAGGACAGGTGGGTGTTACAAATGCTTTTCCCGGCTTTTGCCATATCTACCAGCAGTTCTGCTCTTCTCTCTTTGAGGTCTTCCTTGATCGCATCTCTGCACTGCTTTGTGAGCTCAGATGTTTGCTTGCAGTTGCCTGAGGCATGCGCCAAACCACATTGGTGAATAAGCTCAAGAGTTTTCAAAAACAGATAATACATATTAAACAATTAAAAACGATGTGTAAGATAAATACAAATGTAAATAGTTTGGTTTGGTTTTGGAGTCATACCTGGCTGTGCTCAGGAATTACTCCTGGCAGGCTCAGGAAAACACATATTCTAGGATCAAATCTAGGTCTGTTGTGTGCAAGGCAAATGCCGTACCTACTGTACTATTGATTCAGCCCCAATAACAGTATGCTTTCAAAGCAATAAAACTTCTATATTTATAGTATTACTAATAATAAAACTATACCACTATTCACATATGACTAAAATAGCCCCATTTCTCTATCTCTATTTTCACTTGCTTGGCCAGTGGCGTGTCATCTTTGAAGATGCTGTTAGCTTCAATGTCATGCAGGGTTTTGCCAACCTTGTCTTCAATGTACCTTATGGATTCCGGGCTGTTGTTGAGGTCATTGATCCATTTTGATCTTACTTTTGTACATGGTGTTTGGTAGAGATCTGAGCCCATCTTTTTTGCATGTAGCTGTCCAGTTTTGCCAACACAATTTGTTAAAGAGGCTTTCCTTGCGCCATTTCACATTTCTTGATCCCTTATCATAGATTAGCTGATCATATATTTGGGGGGGGGGGGTGTCAGAATATTCAACCCTGTTTCATTGGTCTGCGGCTCTGCCTTTGTTCCAGTATCATGCTACTTTAATCAATACTGCTTTGTAGTAGAGTTTGAGGTTGGGGAGGTTGAGACAAATGGGACTGTCTTAAACTAAGAAGCTTCTGCACCTCAAAAGATACTTAATCACTTAATCACTTAACTTCCCGTTAGTCGTCGATTTGCTCGAGCGGGCGCCAGTAACGTCTCCATTTGTCCCTGTCGCGTGCTAGTGTAGCCCAATGGCATCTCTTCGCTCCGGGAACATGGAGGGCCTCAAACCGATCGTTCATGACCTTGACAAAGAAGTCTGACCATCTGGTAGGTGGGCGGCCACGCGGTCTCTTGACATCCCGTGGAATCCAATCAGTAACAGCTCTAGTCCAACGGTCGTCTTTAAATCTCATTACGTGACCAGCCCATCTGATTTTCGACACCTTGGCAAATGAGACAGCGTCCCTGATCCTTGATCGTCGACGGATGTCAGAACTCCGGATTCGTTCTCTCATTTGAGTGAAACGTGATATTCCAAGCATAGCTCTTTCTATTCTTCTTTGGGAGACCTGAATGGCGTTCTCATCTTGTTTGCGTAGGGCCCAGGTCTCTGAGGCATATGTTAATGCAGGAAGAACAGTGGAATCAAAGAGATGTGCCCGGAGCCGGAGGTTCTTCGTCCTCTTAGCTATTTCTTCGACGTTCTTGAAGGCGTTCCAAGCCGCTCTCTTCCTCCTGCGCAGCTCGGGTGCCAGGTCATTTGTCATGTTGACCTCTCGACCTAGGTATACATAGCTGTTGCATTCGGAGATGGTCGTTCCATTGAGAGCGAATGGGGCGTCAGGAACAAGGCTGTTTCTCATAAACATTGTCTTCGTAAGATTCAGCTGTAGTCAAAAGATACAGCTACCAAAATACAAAGACAGTCTACAGAATGGAAAAGGAAATTCACCCAGTACCTATCCAATAAGGGGTTGATATCAAGGATATATCAAGGATATACAAAGCATTGGTTGAACTACACAAGAAGAAAACATCTAACCCCATCAAAAAATGGGGTGATATAATGAACAGAAACTTTCTCAAAGAAGAAATCCAAATGGCTAAAAGGCACACGAGGAAATGCTCTACATCATTAATCATCAGGGAGATGCAGATCAAAACAACAATGAGATATAACTTCACACCACAGAAACTGGCCCACATCCAACAGTACAGAAGCAGCCAGTGTTGGTGCAGATGTGGCGAGAATGGGGCCCTCCTTCACTGCTGGTGGGAATGCTGACTGGTTCATCCCTTTTGGAAAACAGTATGGATCATTCTCAAAAAAATTAGAAATTGAGTTCCCATTTGACCCAGCAATACCACTCCTGGGAATATATCCCGGAGAGGCAAAAAAGTACAGTCGAAATGACATCTGCACTTCTATGTTCATTGCTGCACTGTTCACAATAGCCAAAATTTGGAAAAAACCCGAGTGCCTGAGAACAGATGACTGGTTAAAGAAACTTTGGTAGATCTACAAAATGAAATACTATACAGCTGTTAGAAAACATGAAGTCATGAAATTTACATACAAGTGGTTCTACATGGAAAGTATCATGCTAAGTGAAATGAGCCCGAAAGAGAGGCACAGACATAGAAAGACTGCACTCATCTGGGGAATATAAAGTAACAGAATGGGTGGCAAACACCCAAGATTAGTTGAGATAAGTACCAGGAGGTTTGCTGCATGGCTTGGAAGCCAGTGGAAAGGGTAGCTCAGATAGAGAAGGGAACACCAAGTAAAGAATGTTTGTAGGATTTGCTCGGGATGCTGAAAGCAGACTATAGACCAAACAGGATGGCCACTCAATACCTCTATTGCAAATCACAACACCCTAAAGGAAAGAGAGAGCAAAAAGGAATGCCCTGCCACAAAGGCGCGGCAGGGTGGGGGCATATGGGGCGGGGGGATGGGAGAGCTACTGGGATCATTGGTGGTAGAGAACGGGCACTGGTGGAGGGATGGGTACTCGAGCATTGTATAACTGAAACCCAAGCATGAAAGTTCATAAGTCTACAACTGTACCTCATGGTGTTTCACTAATAAAAAATTTAAAAATAAATTAATTAAATCAATCTATTGATTAATTTCATTTTAATTTTAAAA